CGTCTCTCTGCGCCCACACCTCGCTTTCAATCCCCGCCCTCGACGCCTTTCACCTTCAACTGACGCCTTTCAACTCCACCCCGACGTTCGCTCGTATGGAACGGCCCAAAGCCTACCTCGACCGCGTCTGCGGCGAGGGCGTCTTCACGCGCGCCAACATCGACACCCCGTCCATGCACGGCGGGAAGGACGGCACCGTCGTCCGCGGCGGGAAGGTGCCCATGCTTCGGGCGCTGACGACGGCGCTGGTGGGGGCCGACGGAGGCGGCGGCACGGAGACCGAGGCGGCGGTCAGAGCGGCGCCGCGCGTGCTCTTCTTCGACGACGACGAGAAAAACGTGACGGGCGCGCGCGAACACGGGTACGTCATGTCCGTGCTGACGGACGCGTGTTTCACTCGAGAGAAGTGGGACGAGGTGAAGGCGGGGCTGGGGATGGAGGCGTTCATGGACGGCGCGTAGCGTAGGCTTATAAAGGGGATGGGCGGGCGGGGGGCGGTCGCGGCGAAAGTCAATGGTTTCGTTTGGATTCGAGTGATCGGATGCGACGCGTCCTGTCGGTCGAGCACGCCCGCGGTCGCGGTCGTTTCGCCTTTCAAGCAGTGCATTGATTGTCTTTCAACGACGTATCAAGGGTGCATATGGTACAACGTCAACTCGTTTTTCGTTCGCACAACTACATCGCGACACAGCGCCTCGCGCGCATGTTACGCGATAATATTGACGGTAAGCGACCCAATATTATGCAATAAATCGATCTATATCAGTGTCAAGAGAAACTTTCTCCGTGATTCTGCCGCGCGATATTACCTTCCGCCGCCGGCGCGCGCGTCGTCGACAGATGACCCGATGACCCATCTTTCGCGTTTTTCGAACGGAAACGCGACAGCACGTTTTTGGCAAAAAGTGACCACTGGCCTTTTCAAGCGCCGATTACATCGTGTTCTTGACAGTAAGCGACGTCATATTCTTACTTATATTGATGATACACATCACGAAGATCACTTCTTCCCACTATGATAAAGTCATTCACGACCTTCCGACGACGCCATGGTCGCATAAACACGCGGACCCTGACGTCTGCCGAAAAATATTTCCCTGCGTAAGGGAGAAATTTTTTTACCTGAAAAACGCGAACGGGTCCGAGAGGTCTCGGTTTTTTTGCCCCATCCGCGGGTTGGCGAGGAGCGCCGTGCGGCATCGAGATTCATCGCTGGGCTACCCGCGCTCGCGCAGCATCACCCTGTGCCATATATCATGCATCACCGCCCTCGATGACGCCAGAAGTGCTACGTGGCCCCCGCGCGAGGCGCTGTGTCGCGATGTAGATGTGTCAACGAAATCGACCTGACGTTGTACCATATGCACCCTTGATACGACGAACTCTCCGATGAAAGATTGTCCGGTAAAATCGCAACGTCTGACACTCTAAACGGGCGACCATCGCCGCGTCGCCTCGAAGCGTCGGCGACGCTCGCAGTCTTCCGCGCGCGCGCGATCGACCCCGCCGTCGCGTCGTCACCTCGTTCGCACTCTCGCGCCCGCGCGACGCCGATCGTCTCGCGCTTCACGTCTCGCGCTCGCGAAGACCCGCTCCCGGGGAGACGCGCGAGCGCGGACTAACAATGCTTCGCGCGTCGCTCGCGACCCTTCGCCGCGGCGCCCGCGCGGGCGTCGCGTCCCCCGCGACGCAGCTCCAGCAGATCCGCCGGCTGAACATCCACGAGTACCAGGCACGCGTCGATCGAACCGCGGCGCGCGCGCTGATTCCCCGAACCCGCGTCGGTCGCGGCGCGCGACGACGACGCGCGACGCGCGCCCCCTCGATCGTCCGTCGATCCGAACGATCGCTGACGCGCCAGCTCCGATCCCCGCCCCCCCACCCCGCAGAGCGCGGAGCTGATGGCTCAGTACGGCGTCCGCGTCCCCCCCGGGATCGCGTGCACGACCCCGGACGAGGTCGCCGCCGCGGCGGCGAAGCTCAGCGGCGAATCCGGCGAGGTAGTCGTGAAGAGCCAGGTGCGCGCGCGCGCGCGTCCGTCCGTCCCTCGCTCGCGCGATCGTCCCGTTCGGTCGGCAGTTCAGTTCGGTCCTCCATCGAAAAAGCGAACGAGACGCCACGCCGACTCCCTGACTCCCCCCCCACGCCCCGCCGCCGCCGCGCTCGCTTCCACCCTCGCCTCGCGCGCGTCCCGTCCAGGTCCTCGCCGGCGGCCGCGGCCTCGGCACGTTCACGTCCGGGCTCAAGGGCGGCGTGCACATCGTCCCCGCCGCGGAAGCCAAGACGCTCTCCGAGAAGATGCTCGGCCAGACGCTCGTCACGAAACAAACCGGCGCGGCGGGCAAGCCGGTCAACACGCTCATGGTCGCGGAGAAGATGAAGCTCGTGAACGAGATGTACTTCGCGATTCTTCTCGACCGCGCGTCCGCGGGGCCGATGATCATCGCGTGCAGCGAGGGCGGGACTTCGATCGAGGACCTCGCGGAGAGCCATCCGGAAAAGATCATCAAGATGAAGGTCGACGTGAACCGGGGGCTCACGACGGATCAAGCGCTGGAGCTCGCGCGCGGGTTGAAAGTCTCCGGGAGCGCGGACGACGCGGCGGCGCAGCTCAAGGCGCTGTACGCCGTCTTCGAGAAGAGCGACTGCACGATGCTCGAGGTGAACCCGCTCGCGGAGACGGACGAGAAGCTCCTCATCGCCGCGGACGCCAAGCTCAACTTTGACGACAACGCCGAGTACCGCCAACGCGAGCTGTTCGCGCTGAGGGACCACTCGCAGGAAGACCCGAGAGAGGTCGCCGCGGGGAAGTTCGACTTGAACTACATCGGGCTGGACGGTAACATCGGGTGCATGGTCAACGGCGCCGGGCTGGCGATGGCGACGATGGACATCATCTCCCTGCACGGCGCGTCTCCGGCGAACTTTTTAGACGTCGGCGGCAACGCGAGCGAGGAGCAAGTCGTCGAGGCGTTTAAGATTCTCACCGCGGACGTCAAGGTGAAGGCGCTGCTCGTGAACATCTTCGGCGGGATCATGAAGTGCGACGTCATCGCGTCCGGTATCGTGAACGCGGCGAAGCAGGTGGGGATCAAAGTTCCTCTCGTCGTGCGTCTCGAGGGCACGAACGTCGAGGCGGGGAAGGAGATTCTCGCCGAGAGCGGTCTGAACATCGTCAGCGCGGACGACCTGGACGACGCCGCGAAGAAAGCCGTCGCCGCGCTCGCGTGATTAGATCGCGACGCGCGATGCGATCGCGACGCGTCCATCACTTTCTCGTGTGCATGCATAAAAAAATTTAACGACCGCTAACCCAGTTCTCCTCGCGACGACGTCGATCGATCGATCGGTCCGCTCCGATCGATCACACGATGCCCACGAGCTCGATCGTGAACTCGAGCGTCGAGCCCGGGGGAATCCGGCACACGCCGTCGCCGCCGCACCCCGCGCCTTTCGCGCCGTACGCCAACTCCGGAGGAATCATCGCCTTCCGCTTGCTCCCCACCCTCATCGGCGTCATGTCGCCGCCGCCGACGACGATCGTCTCCCATCCTCTGATGACCTCGCCGGTGCCGATCGAGAAGACGAAAAACTTGGCGTAGTCCACCTTCTTCCCGTTCACGTTCAGCTGGTAGTTCGCCTTCAGGGTGTCGCCCTCGAACGGCTCCTCGCCCTTCCCGATCGCGAGGTCGATGAACTTGATCCCGTCCGGGCCGTCGCGGTACTCCTCGTCGCCGTCCGCGAACGCCGCGCGGACGAGCGCGGCGTTCGACGCGACGAGCGCGGCGGTGCCCGCGACGAGGGACCGGCGAGACGCGATCGCGCTCGACGCGGCGGAGGAGGACGGAGGGGCGGACGACGCCCTCGCGACGACGGCGCGGCGGTTCGAAACGCGCGCGGGCGCGGCGACGCGCGCGGAAGCGGCGGCGAGAGCGGTCATGGCGCGCGACGACGAGTGTGGGCGACGACGGGGACGCACGGGATATCGATAAGACGCGACGTGGCGCGGTTTGGCGTCGGAACGAAAAAATCGCATTCGCTGCGTGCGTTTTTCAATACAAAGAATCGGGGCGCTCGCCCTATGTGACATACATACGTCGCTCACTTCGCGACCTTCTTCGGCGCCTTCGCGGCCATGTGCGCCATGAGGTCGACGACGCGGTTGGAGTACCCCCACTCGTTGTCGTACCAAGACACGAGCTTCACGAAGTTCGGGGAGAGGGAGATGCCCGCGCTCGCGTCGAAGATGGAGGACCGGTCGTCGCCGATGAAATCCGCGGAGACGACGGCGTCCTCCGTGTACCCCATGACGCCCTCGAGCTCGCCGCCGGGCGCGGCGGCGAGCTCGATCGTCTTGCATATCTCATCGTACGTCGCCCCCTTCTCGATCCTGACGGTCAGGTCGACGACGGACACGTCCTGCGTCGGGACGCGGAACGCCATCCCGGTGAGCTTGCCGTCGAGCTGCGGCAACACCTTCCCGACGGCTTTCGCCGCGCCGGTGGAGGAGGGGATGATGTTCGCGCCCGCGCCGCGTCCGCCGCGCCAGTCCTTCATGCTCGGCCCGTCGACCGTCTTCTGCGTCGCCGTCGTCGCGTGCACGGTCGTCATGAGACCTTCCACGATGCCGTAGTTGTCGTCGATGATCTTCGCGAGCGGCGCGAGGCAGTTGGTCGTGCACGACGCGTTGGAGACGATGTTCAGAGAGTCGTCGTACTCGTCGGAGTTGACGCCCATGACGAACATCGGCGCGTCCGCGGACGGGGCGGAGATGACAACCTTCTTCGCGCCCGCGTCGATGTGCTTCTGCGCGCCCTCGAGGGACGTGAACACGCCCGTGGACTCGACGACGTAGTCCACGTTGGACGCCGCCCACGGGATCTGCGCGGGGTCGCGCTCGGCGAAGACGGCGACTTCCTTGCCGTTGACCATGAAGCCGAGCGGGCACTCTTCGTCGGAGCACTCGACGGCGCTGTACTTCGCCTCGCCGACGAAGCGGCCGTGGACCTGAGGACGGACGGAGGGAGAGAGGGCGGTGAGCGCCGGCGCGAAGAGATCGAAAGAGAATTGGAATAATCTGTCGTCGCGTCGAGTTCGAGTGATCGGGCGGGCGCGTCGCCGCGTCGCGTACCGTGTCGTATTTGAACATGTACGCCATGTAGTCCGCGGTGACGAACGGGTCGTTCACCGCGACGACCTCGATGTCGTCGCGGAGTAAGCACGCGCGCATGACGAGGCGGCCGATGCGGCCGAAGCCGTTGATCCCGACGCGAATCTTCTCGCCCTCGCCGACGGGGGGCGTCGCGACGGCGTTCACGGTCGGGTCCTGGGACGCCCTCGCGACGGTGTGGACGCGGGAGACGGTCCTGCTCGACGCGTCGGGGGTTTTTCGAGGGCGAGCGGAACGGACGCGGTCAGTCGTTTGGTCGGCGACGAAATCTCGGGGGAACGGCGCGCGCGGACGGCGCGATCGCGTCAGCCCCTCGCGGCCGACGTTTCGTCAAAATATCCGCAGTCATAATCCGGGACGCGTTTGGCGCCGCCGAATCGCCCCGCGGCGTCGCGCGCGACCGCTTCATCTCGCCGAAGACCGCCGTTTCGGACGTTTCGAGGCTCGATCGAGACGGTGCCGCCGCGGATACCTCGACGGGAGGGCGGCGAAAACGCGCGGGGACGCGATCTCCGGCGGCGAAAACGCGCCGCGCTTTTTCGCGCGTCGGAGAGACGATTAGATTAATTAACGCGGGACGACGAAAACAAGATGCGCACCTGACGGACTTGGCCTTGACGCGCTTGCCGCCGAGGGCGACGCGCGCGGCGAGCGCGGGAGAAGAAGAAGCGACGGCGAACATGATCTTGCTGTTCGAGGGGGGGTGTGCGGTCGTGTGCGACGCGTGTTGTTATGGCCGGCCGCCGATTACTTTCGGCGCGAAAAAGTAAGAAAATATCCTGCTCGAGGCCGAAAAAGCCCGAGAGGGGGGATCGGGAGAACGCAGATGCCGGACTGCAGATCCAAACCCTAAATCCGAACCCTACACGTGTAGTGGTGGTTTACGAATCTCGCGCGACAGACAGACATCGTGTTTCATAGAGAGGGGATCTCGCGCGCGCGATGGCGTCGCGCGACGCCGAGTTCCCCGTCGCGGAGCTCCAGGCGAGGATCGAGGCGATCCTGCGCCGGGAACCCGCGGCGGTGTGGGGGTGCGTCGTGACCTCGGACGTCGGGATGAACCACATCGCGTACTTGTGCGAGAGGCCGCGCGGACGGAATCACACGGGCCCCGCGGTGCTCGCGTCGATCGCGCCGGACGCGCCGCTCGTGCCCGCGTCGTGCGTCAAGCTCTTCACGTGCGGGCTCGCCCTCGAAGTCGCGCTCGGGCAGGACGCGTTCGAGACGAGCGCGCACGTCTGCGGCGACGCGTCGGACACGCTGTGTCTCCACCCGAGCGGCGATCCCACGCTCACCGCGGACGACCTCGGCGCGCTCGCGCGCCGCGCCGCGCGCGGGCACGACGTGCGACGCGTGCGCCTCGGCGCGAGCGAGGAGGCGGGGTACGACGCGCGGCATGAGGGACACCATCCGACGTGGGAGGTCGGCGATCTCGAGCGGCCGTGGGCGGCGGCGCCGTCGTGGTTCGCGACCGTGGATCGCAACGCGGGCGGCGAATTTCGAAGCCCGCGCGCGCTGTTCCTCTCCTTCGCGAGACGCGCGCTCGGGCTCGACGACGACGACGACGACGACGACGACGAGACCGTGCACGCGTGCGAACATCTCGAAAACTTGTCGTACGACGCGCGACGCGCGGCGGCGCACGCGTCGGCGCCGATCGCGGACGTCGCGCGCGCGTGCCTCGAACGTAGCGACAACCTCTTCGCGGAGTCGCTGCTGCCTCGGGTCCGCGTCGGCGATCGCTCGCGCAGTCGCAAAGCGCCCGCGGGCGCGGACCTCGGGGAGGTCCTCACGATGGCGGCGACGGAGGCGTACGGTCTCCGCGGCGATCTCGTGCGGCTCGTGGACGGGTCCGGGCTCTCGAGGCACAACCTCGCGCCGCCGAGGGCGTTCGCGGACGCGATTCAGACGGCGCTGAGCCAGCGCGTCTCGCGTCTCGACTGGGAAGTGGACGCGGCGCGTTTTCTTCTCGATTCGTTGCCCGTGGCCGGGCGCACGGGGACGCTCGCTGGAAGGTTCGCGGGCACTCCCGCGGAGGGCGTCGTCCGCGCGAAGACGGGGACGATGACCGGCGTCGCGTCGCTGTGCGGGTATTTCGAGACGCACGCGGATCCGCGACTGGGGAACGTCGCGTTCGCGATCATGGCCAACAACGCGGTGGCCTCCGCGGAGAAGTTACGAGACGTCGTGGACGCGGTCGTGTGCGCCATCGCGCTCGCGCGCGTCTCTCCTTAAGGGTAACTTAGTGTGCTGTTGACTATCGTAGCGGCTACTAGCTAGACTATTAGTACCTATCGTCGCTCGTCGGCGCCGTCGCCGTCGCGCCACAAAAACGCCTGCAGCAGCGGCACGATCTGCAGCGAGCTCAGATCCTCCACGGCTTCTCGCGCCTCCTCCGCGCTCGCCGCTCGCATCAGCGCGTCCTTCCTGAACGCGATCACCGCGGCCGCGGCGACCGCGATCGGCAGCACGGAGTCGTACCCGACGATCCGGTCCCACAGCAGCAACGTCTGCGTCGCGTCGAGGTGCCGCGCGAACGCGTGCACGATCCACGCCGACGCGAGCGTCGCCGCCGGCGCGTTGATCGACAACAAGTGGAAGCACAGCGCCGGCTCGTGCCTCTGCGCGAGGTCCTCGAACGCGCGGAGCAGACCAACGAGCGCGGGAGACGGGAACGTCTCGTCGCTCAAGACGTGCAGACGGCAGAAATACCGCGCGTACATCCGCTCGAAGACGTCCAACAGCTCCGCCGGGTGCGCGTATATAAACGCGAGCGGCGCGAGAAAAGACGCGAACCCGTCGAACGGCAACACCCCGCACGGGGGGTACGTGCTTCCTCCTCGCCCACCATCGCGTCGTTTCGTGCCGTCCCTCGCGACGCCGTCGAGCATCGGGTGCGGCGCGCACCGCCCGCTGCCGACGCACAGATCCGGGACGCGCGCGTCTCTCGAGAACGCGAGCGCGACGGCTCGCAGCGACTCTGCAAACGGGAAATACGTCGCGTGGTCGCACGTCTCCGCGACGTCCCGCGCGAACAGCGCGTCCACGAGCAACGATCGTCGACGCACGTCGTCGCACAGCGCGTCGAAGTGCGCGCGCGCGCGCTGGTCCCCGGGCGCCGCCGCGCCGAGGGCGGCGGACCATATCGCGCCTCTGCGCGAGGCCGGGACGCCAGTCTTGGCGAACGCGCGGCACTTCGGGATTGACCGCTCCTTCGCGAGCGCGGCGGCGACGGCGTCGCGCCGCGCCGCGTACGACGCGTCCACGAGATCGTCCACGCCGATCTGCGCGTGCTCCGGGGCGGTCTGCCGAAAAAATGCGCGAAGCCACGTCGTGGACGGCGCCCTGAGCTCGATCTTCACGAGCCCCCAGGACGGGACGTGCGCCGGCGTCGACGCGCCGCCGTCCTCGGGCGTCCACCCGACGTTGGACGCCGCGCGTAATAAGTCCGCGTGGCCGTACAGATGCGGGAGGTCCGCGCGCGCGGTCTCCGTGAAGGCCATTCGGTCGATCGCGCGCACGATGGACGCGGTCTCGATCGAGGCGAGCGCGATCGGGTCGTCCGCGGCGGCCGCGGCGGCGGCGGCGGCGGCGGCGGCCGCCGCCGCCGCCCGAGCGTTTGGATTTCGTCGCGCCTCCGTCGTCGCCCGCGTCGTCGCGCGCGGCGCTCGCGAGCGGCGTGCCGCTCGCCGCGCTGAGCTCGTTGAGCCGCTCCGTGAGCTGCCGACGCCACACCCGCCGCGCGACGGCGATGGACTCGAGCATCCCCGCGGTCTCGCGCGCGTCGTCGTCGAAGAGCGACGGCGTCCCCGACGCCTCCGCGCGCGCGTCCGAATCGATCTCGCCGCCGTCCCCGCTCGCGCTTTCGTCGCCTCGAACCCGCGCGTCGCCGCCGCGCTCTAGACCCGGCAGACGCTCGCGCATCGCGAACGCGTAGTTGCGCATCCGCGTCGCGAGCCCGAGCTCCTCCATGAGCGACGGGAGGTACTCCGCGAACGACTCGACGCGATACGACGGCTTCACCGCTTCCTCTTTCAGCGCGCGACGGCACTGCCAGTAATCCATGGTCCCCTCGAGCGCGTTCACGACCGCGCGCACGTGCGCGTGGTCCGCGGAGTAGAGCTCGCGCGCGGGGAGCGTCGCGGCGACGCCGCCGGGGCTCCCGCCCGCCCCCGCGACGTGCTCCATCCCTTCGTCGCGCCCGAGAATTGTGTCTCGACAGACGCGTTTGAAAAAAATCGTCAGCTATTATCATATTCGACGACGACTCTAAGACTACGTGTACCTTCGTCGCGCCGCGCGCGGTCGCGTCACGCGTACGACTCGTACGCGCTCGCTCGCCGCGTGACCCCCGTCTTCGCGCTCCCCAGAAGCCTCGCGGACTCCTCGTGCTCGTCGTCGTCGTCGTCGTCCTCCTCGCCGCTCTCGCCGCGCCCTCTCCCTCTCGACCCCGCCATCACCCCCGGAGGCAACAGCAGCGCGGCGCCCAACGACGCGAGCGAGAACGAGGAGTACGCCAGCACCTTGGCCACCTCCGGCATGGACGTCCCGCCGACGTACGTCGTCACCAGATCCCCCATCCTCGCCCAAAAGTTCCCGTACGCGTGGCCCGTCGCGCGAATCTTCACGCCGTAACTCTCCGGGGTCACGAGCCACACCACGGAGGCAAAGTTCATCGCCGCCCCGCGCGCGAGCAACGCCGTGAGCGTGAGCGTCCACCCCGGCGCCATCTCCTCGTCGATCAGAACCGTCGGCACCGCGATCAGGACGATGACGCTCGACGCGCACAACACGACGCGTCGCGACAGTATCGAGACGAAGTAACTCCCCGCGACGACGCCGAAGAGTTCGCCCCCGCACGACGTCGCGAGCGCGTCGAAGTTGTACGACCCGCCGGCCACGTCGGCGTGGGAGGACGTCGACAGAGGGAGGAACAAGACGACGCCGTAGTACGCGCACTGCGCGGTGAGCGACAGCGTCCACACGCACATCGTCCTCTTAAAGTTTCCCCCGCGGAACAGCGCCTTCGCGCCCTCGGTGTTTTCCTCCTCCGGCGCGACGTCGAACGCGTCGGCGTCCAACGGGACGCCGTTGCGCGCGGCCGCGCGCAGGACGATCGCCTTCGCGTCGTCCGCGCGTCCGCGCGCGGCGAGCCACGCCGGGGACTCTTCGAGGTAGCAGATGCCGAACAGCGAGAGCGCCGGCGGGATGGACGCGATCAGCGTGAGGACGCGCCATCCCAACGGATTCGCGGCTTCGCCGGCGACGGGGCCGTTCGGGCCGTCGAGGCACGCCCACGCGGCGCCGATCACGCCGAGGCTCCCGAGCGTCCAGTGCGTCCATATCGCGCACAGCACGACGCCTCTCAGCGCGGGCGGGCACGCCTCCGCGAGGAGGTCGAACGGCACGGTGATTCCGCCGATGCCGACGCCGACGAGCCCGCGAAGGATGAGCATCGCGACGAGACGCGTCGAGAACGCGGACGCGACGCCGAAGACGGCGACGAACAGCGTGCCGAGCACGAACGCGGGGCGTCGTCCGCGCCTGTCCGCGTACACGCCGAAGACGGCGCAGCCGATCATCTCGCCGAGGAACTGGACCGCGAGGAGCGTGTTCGACGAGAACGACGACAGCCCCCACTCGCGCTTGAGCTCGACGGCGAGGAAGCTCACGAAATTGACCTGAACGCTGGCCGCGGCGACGCACAGGCCGACGAAGAAGAAGACCAACCACTGCGACTTGCCCCATCCGATCCTCGCGCTCAGGGACGCGATCGTCCACCGCTCGCGGGGCTTCTCCATCCCGCCTCGCGCGTCGCCGCGCGGCGGACGCGTCGCGGGACTCTCACGCGCTTCGACGATCCGCGGTTTCGGTTACATCGGATCGGTCGAAACGTGTTTTCGTTGATCGGTCACGATTTCGCTTCGCGTCGATCAACCGACGTCTCTCCTCGACGCCGCACAGCATGTGCCCGAGGATCGGCCGGCACCGGTTCGCGCACGCGCCGTAGAACGTCCCCTCGACGCGTTCCCCCTCCTCTCTCGGCGGAGATCCGACCCACACCTCCGCTATCGCCATCGGCGTCAGCCCGCGCCGCGCGCACTCCGCGAGCAGCTTCGGCGCGGCGCAATCGCCGCACCCGCACGGGAGAAACGACGCCGCCGGCTTCCGCCTCGCGCCGCCGCCGTCGTCGCCGTCGCCGTGGTCGTCCCGGACGAACACGTCCGCCATCCTCGCCCCGGACGCGGTCCAGCCGCCCGCGCCGCCGCTGTCGTCGATGTCGCAGCTCTCCGCGTCTAACCCGTCCGTCGTCCGCGTCCCGAACCCGCCCTCCGTCGTGAAGTTCGGCAGTCGGTACGACTCGAAAATCGCGCCCAACAGCTCGCGGCTCAACGCTCGATGCGTCGACCGCAACGCCGTGAGCTCCGAACGCGCGCGCTCGAGCGCTTCCGTCGGCGACGCGAGCGCCGTCGCGCGCGCGTCCTTGAGGCGCGCCAGCTCGCGCTTCCCCGCGCGGCTCTCCGCGGCGTGCAGACGCGTCGTCGCCGCGAGCGTCGCGCGCGCGGCGTCTTCTTCTTCGCCCGCCGCCGCCGCCTCGATCGACCGCTCCATCGCCGCGCGCGTCGCGCGTCGAGCTCTCGACCGCTCCTTCAAACGACGCGAGAGCGCGTCGATCCGCGCGTCCCAGTCTCTCGCCGCGGTCGCCGCGGCGAGCTCCAACGCGCGCGCGTCCGCCTTCGTCGCCGCCGCCGCGTCGACGACGGTTTTGATCTCGTCGCGGTCGCGGACGTACCGCGGGTGTTTGTGCGTCAGCCCGCACAGAGGCGGCGCCCACCCGGGGACGGACCACTCGCCGAACAGCTGCCCGCTGAACGCTTTCAGGACGACGACGTCGTCGCGCGTCGACGCGTCGGCGTCGGCGTCCGCGCCCGGGTGGACGGACGCCGCCGACGCGAGCAGAACGCCGAGCATCTTCCCGCCCCCGGGACGGCGCAGGTTCGACGCGTCGAAGCGCGCGTCCCCGGGCGCGGGGACGTCGAAGTCGAGCCTCCCGGCGTCCTCGACTCGACGCGCGAGCGCGAGCGCCTCCGACTCCGCCTCCGGCGTGCGCGTCAGTCGGTGCGTCGCGTCGCACGCGCGGCAGTGCCCGACCGCGGCGTCGCGCGGGTCTTTGGATTCGTTCTCGATGCGCTCGCGACGCGCGCGCGCGTCGTTCGCGACGCGGCGCGCGGACGTCGCGCTGCCGGCGTCCGCGACGACGAGGCGCGACGCGCGGCGCCGCGCGCGGCGCCACCCCGGCGCCGGCGGGCGCGCGACGAGACGCGCGAGCGCGTGTCGCAGCGCCGACATCACTGCGCGCCGCTCGCGGCCGACAAAAAAGAGTTCATCGGTCAGTTGAAAGGCGAGCGATCAACGTTGAAACCGCTGTGAAACCGGAAGGTGACCCGACCGCTCGACTCCCGCGTCGGAGATTTCGAGACGACGACGACGTCGAGCTTCACGGTCGGAAGACGAACGTCCTCCTCGACGCCGTCGCCGCCACACCGCCGCCGCGCCGCCGCCCGCCCGCCCGCCCGCCTGACGCGCCGCCCGCTCATCTCACAATGCGCGTGCACATCAAGCCGAGGGTCCAGAAGGACAAGTGGAGCCTGTACTGGAAGACGTCCATGGCGACCAAGACGCTGTACCTCGACGAGTTCGATATCGACGTCGACCCGGAGAAGACGACGGGGAAGGAGCTCCGCGCGCTCGTCGCGGAGACGATCGGGCACCAGCCCGAGAAGGAGCTGTGCCGGCTCGAGAGCTTCGTCGAGCCGTGGGAGCTCGCGTGCGCGCCCTTCCCGTCGCCCCTCTCAGTCGCGCGCGCGCGTCGCGCGCTCGCGGCGCGTCCCCGAGACGCGCGACGGACGCGACGTCTCAACTGACGCGACCCGTCCCCGCTCCCTTCCTCCGCGCGCGCAGGATGCACAAAGGTCGCGAGCTCGACGACGACAAGACGCTCGCGGAGAACAAGATCACGACCGAGGGCGCGGACGTCATCTGCGTCCGCAAGGAGCTCATCGCGGAGGGGTGGAAGATCCTCCAGCAGGACGACGAGGACTCGGATACCGAGGAGGAAGACTTTTAAGCGACGAGAGAGAGCGCGAGCGCGAGCGCGCGGGAGAGGACGCGGCTCCGCTCCGCTCGCGCGCCCGGATGAACGTTCGCATCTCATCGCGCGAGAGACGACGTCACGTCGACGCGCTTTCTTCTTTCTCTTCTCTCACGTTCGCGCGCGCGCCGTTCGTGCGATACCACCATACGCGCTCGCCGGCTAAGCCTATGCAAATACAGTACACGTACACGCGAACACCGCGTCCGCGTTCGCTCACTCTTCCTCGCCGTACGAACCCGAGAACCCCCCTCCTTCGCCGCCGCTCGCGGCTTCGACCGCCGCCGGCTCCGGCTCCGGCTCCGGCTCCGGCGGCGGCGGCAGCACCTGCGACCGCGCGGCGTCGAGCTGCTCTCGGTCCATGAGAGCGAGGAACTCGTCGAGTTTACTCGCGCTCGCCGCGGCGGCGCGTTTGGAAAACTTCGAGTACTCCGCCGCTTTCGCGCCGGACACCGCGCCCATGTTCTCGAAGTACTTGTTGTAGTCGATCTTCTCCAGGAGCTCGAGGAAGTCGAACGCGATCGCTTTCGCCTTGACCTCCTGGCTCGCGTCCAGATACGCCGCGGCGGCGAACAAGTTCCCCTTCGGGTCGTTCCCGCGTGATATCTGGTTGCACACGGTGCTGAGCTCTTCCCAGTACCCATCCTCCGCGAGGCTCTCCGCTTGCCTCAGAAGCTCGCGAATCTTCACGAGCGGGACGAGGTAGAAGAACAGCGGCTTCGACGGCGTCGGGGCCTCGTCCGAGATCTGCGACAGCGCGGCGAACACCGCGGTCCCGAACAGCCCGATCGCGAGCCTCCTGTTCACCTCGTTTTTCGCCTCCTCGTCCATCTCCGGGAGCTCGCCCGCCTCCGAGGGCTGCGTCCGGACGAGGAACTCCATGCCGTCGGAGAGCCACGAGTCGCCGCTCGGGGCGCCGAACAGCGTCTCGCGCCCGCCCGTGCCGTCGACGCGGCTCTCCGGCTTCGCGGGCTTCTGCCTCGCGAGCTCGTCGACGGTCGCGGTCGGCGGCTCCGGCTGCGCTCGGAGCTCCGATCGGAGCTTCTCCGCCTCCGCCTCCGCCGCCTGGAGCTTCGCCATCATCTCCGCCATGTTCGCCTCCGTCAGCGGAGCGTCCTCATCCTGATGACGCGAAGGACGCGGGCGGGAGAGGGGGGGGCGCGTCGAGCGTCAGGACGGGGAAGCGCGCGGAGCGGCGGGGGGGGGACGTCGAGGGTGGGAGCGGAGCGCGAGGAGTGGGCACGTCATCGTCCGTCGCGACGACACGCACCGCGGCGTTCGGGCGGACGGGTCCGCGCGCGCGGCGGCCGAGCGCGCGAACCCCGCGGTTTCCGCGGGTTTTGACGCTCCCGGTGATCGACGGGAGCGCGCGGAGCGGCGACATCGTGTGCGGCGACATCGCGTGCGTCGTGCGGCGAGCGACTGCGGCGACGTGGCGCGATCTTCTCCCCGATAAGGCGGCCGCGCGTCGAAACCAGGCGCTGGCGGAAGGGCGCGCGAGTAGGGCCAGGCATCGGCGCGTCTCCCTCGCGGCACACCGAGACGCGCTGCGACGCTCGGCGCGGCCGCGTGCATGGCATCCGCGGTTCCCGGTCGCGCGCTTCCGCGTCTCTCCGTCACGAACCGCGCCGCCGCTGCCGCGGTCGCGCGAAGGCGCGTCTCCTCCGCGGACCACGCGCGCGCCGCCGAGACCGAGAGCGTCGGGGGGGAATCCGCCGCCGCCGCGATGGCCCCGGACGCCGCCGCGCCCGCGGGACCCACGCCGTCCGGGGCCCCGTTCAAGCGCTACCACGGCGCGAAGCTCATGATGGAGGACTCCGTGTTCGCGGAGCTCGAGCTCGCGGAGGCGGCGAAGGCGGTCGCCGGCGTGCGCGTGCGCCAGCACGTCAACCCGCTCAAGGCGTCGCTGCAGACGCAGGCGCCGGCGCCCATCTGGAGCGACGTCTTCGCGTCGACGTCGAAGCCGCTGGTCGTGGACATCGGTTGCGGCGGCGGGAGGTTTGACCTCATGATGGCGAAGCGGTTCCCGAGCACGAACTTCCTCGGCGTGGACATCCGAGCGCCGCTCGTGGAGCGCGGCAACTCGTGGGGCGCGCACGCCGGCATCGTGGACAACTTGCACTTCGCCGAGTGCAACGCCACGATCAGCATGGGCGCGTGGCTGAAGGACTACGCGGAGAGATGCGACGGCGAGGTGGAGATGGTGACGATTCAGTTCCCGGATCCGCACTTCAAGAAGAAGCATCACAAGCGAAGGGTCGTGCAGACCGCGCTCGTGCGGGCGATCGCGGAGGGGTTGAAGCCGGGCGCGCGGGTGTTTCTGCAGTCGGACGTGAAGGCGGTGTCCGAGGACATGCGAGAGAAGTTTGAACGGCACGGCGCGCACCTGTTCGATCTCGACGCGTCGCTGCACGCGACGGGCTCGATGGATCCGGAGCTTCTGCGCGCGAACGCGCGCGCGTCCGTCGACGCCGCGGCGAGGGCGGCGGCGGCCGACACGCGCGCGAAGGTCGCGAGGCTCGCCGCGGAAAAGGCGGGGTGGCCGGGGCGCGCGACGCGCCGCGACGGCGACGGCGACGGCGACGGCGACGGCGACGGCGACGGGCGCGACGTCGCGACCGCGGACGGTGAAAAGGTCGTCGCGGTCGCGGAGAAGGAGGACGACAAAAACGACGACGACGCCGATGACAACGACGGGAAAGCCCAGCCCGAGGCGTTTTGCACGAGCGCGAGCGCCGCCGCGGGCGACCCAAAGGGGTGGCTGGACCAGAACTCGCTCGGGGTGCCGACCGAGCGCGAGGTGCACACGATGTCCTCGAACGGACGGTGCTACCGCGTCATGCTCGTGAGGA